CTTTATAAAGAATACACAATTTTATCTTAATTACATATAAAATTTATCTGTAGGTTATTAATTAAAAGTTAGGTGCATAAAAACATCGAATAAGGAACGCATTTTGAAAATGAAAATTTATTTTTTGCGTAATCGATAAATTACGGCGATGTATTGAGTTGAAATGTCGCATGGTACGCTTTTGTACATTTTGTACATTTTCTACAAAACTGTGACGTCGAGAGCTCTTCAACTCCCACTCCTCAACTTTATTACTCATTATCTAAGCAGTTTCTTGTTTAAATTGTAGTAAAGAAATACGTATCTAATATTTTTCTGTTATCTGACTGACGGATTAAATAGTTTTTTTTTTAACCCGGCTATCATCCCTATTGAAGCATTGAAATGTAGAATCTTAACAAAACTTAATTTGAAACTTAGTATTTATTATGGTTAGGTATAATAAATAAACTTATTTCTATTGTTTTCCTAAATAAATCACCGATCAAGAAAACAACATAAATAAAAATGTACTTAGTTATATAAGTGAATATAACTAATTCGGAGCAACTATTCAGCTACGGTTTGACGACATATTGTAATATCTAAGAATATTATCTGCTGACTCGGTGTATCATTAAATAATCATTGGACTGTATACGTTATACATTGAGAAATAAAGAAAATTACCATCTGTTACATGTGGTTCACACGCCGGTTTCAAAATCACCATCTCTGAGGTTCGGATTCGATTCCCGGTCGGGTCATATAGTTTCGGGTCTGGGTGTTGTGGTACCTTCATTGTTTTATATACTCCATAGTTTGAGTACTTTAGCTACTTATAAAAAATAAGGAAACATCATATTTCTAAGGAAAGGAATAAGGAATTAAATGTGACAGAGTCACATTGTGTGTTCTTTATAAAGTCATAATGTGACAGAGTCACATTTAATGGTGAATTTTTAATATTTCTTTTTCTTTAAATACAATGGTTTTGATCTTTACAATTTTGTTCTTATAACGTCTTGCTATCACAATTTATGAGTGATAGACAGGCAGCGGTGTTTAATATATTAGTCAGTATCCCGTTTTTACTCTGTAAATGGCATATTCGGTGTTTTAATTTGGAACAAACGCATTATTATTGCATTGCGGAGTACTCGCTCGTCTTTGTGGGAACCCTAGCATGAATGTTTTTTTCTCAATGAAAATGTTGTATTAGAAATTAAATTTAGCCATATAGGCAAACTAGGCAACTGCCTAGTGCGCTCCAATTTGGGGGACGGAAATGCATACTCATGCAGTACCTATAAAAAAAGACTTTTTAGTTTATGTATGATCCATGTTCTCGATATTCAAAAGGGCAAAATTTAAAGACTAACAGAAGGAAAGGCGAGCCGTTTTAAGCCATTTTAAAATAGGGATGATGACTAATTTTTGTTTGTTTGTCTGTCAGGTAGAGTGTTAAAAAATATTAAACACGTATTTTTTATTTTTTTCGTAATCATAAAATTACGGCATTACATTGAGTTGAAATTTCGCATGACGTCACGTTAGAGTACGTTTTCTACTCAACTGTGACGTAGCGAGCCCTCACTCCTCAACTTTAATGCCTGTTATCTAAGCTATTTCTTGTTAAATTGAAGTAAAAAAAAATACGTATCTAATATTTTTCTATTATCTGACTGACGGACTAAATAGAATTGCATTTTTTTACCCAGTCATCATCCCTATTATTGCACTGTTTTGGTTATATTAAGAGTTACTAGGAACTTTAACACATCATAACTGTTAACGCTGTTAGTTTTGCTACAATGCAACATTTTTTAAACTGTTCACGTCAAAGTAATATATTTACTAATGCGTTAGTTAGAACGTTTTGAAGTTCGAAATGGTGTAGTGTATCTACATTAGTATTTCTTTTTTTTGGGCGCCGCCGTTCCAGGTTTTTGCCTAAGCCAAGTTTCATTAAGCCAGCGCTCCCAAAGACTAGACAAGCCATATTTCCAGACATTAAAATTACTGTTACAATACCGAGAACATAGGATGCAAATTCACAATTGTTTTGTCTGTGTGTATGTAAATTTGTTGCCCAACATCTAGGGCACCCGTAATACTTAATTGTAAACCTAGTGTTAGTATTCTCACGAGTGACTTACATGAATAAGTATGAATACAGAATTGCAGGTTATGTTTATCAATAGTTGAGTTATGGAAAGGTACGTCATTTATGGTCGGTAATGGATAGGCAGTTGAAGCTGCTTTGAGCGTCTCTGTGTTTCAGATGGCACGTTGAGCCATTGCTCTGTCATCAGAGCGCTTAGTGTAAGTTTTTTTGACGTTTACGTTAACTGTCGATCGTGAGCGCGTTAAGATTTTAGTATGGAATCCGGCGCCCCTAGCGGTAACTACCAAGAACTACAAATCTTCATTTAAATCCTTAACGCGTTGTACGCGTTAGCGTAAAATTTACACTTACCACTCTGTATCCGTTAACACCTACATAGGCATAGTTAGGGAAGGGTGGGTCGGGAAGAGATCACTACACAACATTTTTTTTTTGCGTTTGTTATAGATAATGATAGAATGTAATCGGCAAAGTGGAAGTTCCGCTCGCACTTGGCTGATTTTAGTTTGGTAACTTGTCACATATCTAATGACCATTTAAGTACAAAAGTGTCATCATATCCGTAATAATAAAATGACAAACGCGTAAGAAACTATGCTACAATAATCAGGTACCTGAAATTGTGCCACAATAATGATGTATTATAATGTGTTTGTTCCAGAGAGAGATTAATTTTACCAGCCGTATGACATTGATCGAATGTTGGTCAACTTGAAATTAGTTTAAACCACATAACACACGCATCATTATGTTGGCACAATAAATAATTGGGTGTCCATGCAATACATAAGTGTTGTGAAATATTATGCGAACACCCATTTGAATATAGAACATATTTTATTTTTGTTTAACGCTGGAAAATAAGTTATACGGATTTTTTATTCCTGTATAATTCAATAAGAAAGAAAGAGATGGATGATGGTATATTGTGCATACTAAGAAGAGATAAAAATGTACCCATTAATACTTAAGGGAAGATTGCTCAAGTCTTAAAATAAGAAAATATATCAAATTTTACAAAAATAACGTATATATATCGTATAATTTTAATTTATAAAAACAGACTTCAATGACACACACACAGGCTGTCATATGACACTATAAAGACAGGATGTTTGGCAACTCTAATAATACTTTATCGATAAACTTTAATTTAATTACGATAAATTTCCTAAGCTCAAACAATGAAAAGTTACAAAAACAATCTACAATTTCGGAACAATACCACAGTGAAAGTCAATTTTAATTTGTATACAATTCATCTGATAAATTTATTAATGCACAGGATGTAGATAAAAGTTAATTGTATTATTTTATTTATTGTTACAGTAAGTGTATAAATTAAAAACTCATCATTTATTACTGAGTTGTCCAGTCCATTTGAGGCGATGATCTATTTTCACAATATTTCTAATTACACTTACCTTGAACAAGGCATAGCTTAACTAGGAAATCCTTAATATACATTATATACGAATCAGGTTATTTTAATTTTAAATAAATATTTTTTTCTTTTATCCCTTGATATAAGTATTTATGACCTGTCATATACGCAAATGCCTAGTGCAAGGCGCCGCATAATATTATAACTTCAGACATTGCTTAATTTCGTTAGGTGGTTCCTAGTCAATGGTAAAATGTTTTTTTACCTTAGGCGATTCCTAAATATTTTTGGCGACAGATTTGGGTGACTCCTAAATTTATTGAAAACTTTAATTTCTAATGAATTGCAATAAAAACATCTTAATTGTTGCAAAATATTAAATTTCTCATAAACTGCGCGGATGAAAATTAAACCTAGATTCAAACTGGATAGTTGTATTACTAAGCGCTATTGTGAAGATAAAGTATCTTTCGCCATTTCGCTCATAAGATAGGTGTAAAATTAAGAGGCACGGGATGGTAGACCAAAAATGATTATCTTGAGCTACTTCGTGCATCGGAAGGCACGTTAAGCCGTTGGTACCGGCTGCATTTGCAGTCGTTAATACCCTCCCAGCCGCATTGGTTTAGCGTGGAGAGTCATGTTACATCCTCCGTAGTGAAGACTCAGGCTTATAGTGGGGAGGTAAAAGGGCTGTGACGGGTTCGATGCTTGGGCGAATTAATAAAAGGCTGACTAAACTTGAGAATTGATTTATTTTATGGTAAATAAGTAAAGGGTAAAGAAAAAAACTGTAACAAACAAAAAATGAATATAAAAACAGTTCGTATGTTTAACTAAATATAAAATTACAATTACCAAATAGAACAAATACATACCCCTTTTTGGGTTTGCCTTGAATTTGAGTTGAATTTGGGTTAAACATATTTCAAGATATAATTTTTATTTTAAAAAACATGTAATTTCTATTTTAATCATAATAACTTTATATTTAAATTTATGCGACTTACAATAATATGTTCAGAACAGAAGATTTTTTTACGAACGGACATTCATAGAGAGCATATTGGGTTAGGCCAGGGGTCGGCAACCTGCGGCTCGCGAGCCACATGCGGCTCTTTGGCTGGGAAGCTGCGGCTCTTTAGTTCCGAACACAAATATTATTTATTTTATAAAAAAAAAAAATTTTAAAACTTTCTGAATCGATTAACAAAGATTCAGCACCACTTCTATCTCTCAGCCACATAGTCTTTGCTTGTACCCGCTTTTCACGGCACCCCTCGACCGCGCCCGCGATACGCGCCGTCGTCCATCACTGTTGTCTTAGTAAAGATTATTTTTTTTTACTTAAATAACTATGCAAAGCCAAAGTTCCTATTGAGTTTGTTTGCTCAGATATATGTTATGTTCGTTTTTATTTTTTTAATTACAAGTTACATTGTTTGGTAAAGTTTAAATTTTATTTTTAAATATCCAGGCAAAGCCGATTGAATTTCCTTGCTCATCATTATGATTGTTGCTGCCGCGCCCAGACTGAGCTCGCAGCCTCGCGCGGCATGCGCCGCCGCCCCGCTCGGTAAGTGTGAACTGCTGCGGGCACGTTGGCCCGAGGCATAGCAAGCGTCCGCCTCGCCCGAGGCAGTCCACAGTCACCACACCGACCGAGCGGTTCGGCGCATGCCGCGCGAGGCGGGCCTCGCCTAAAGGTGCGCGCTCAGTCTGGACGAGGCTATTGAAGTAAAAATTAGTGTTGTAACTTTGTAACTAAATGTTTAATTGTTTTATTTTTTTACTTGTATTATAAATAATTATTAATACCATAAATATGTTTATTTTTTTATGAAAAAACCTACTCATATATGAATAAATAAATATTATTTTGTCTTATAAATAAACAGATTAAAATTACTTTATTTATGCAAGTACTATTTATTGTGATTGAATCACCATGATTGACCGAAAGTAGTTGATTCCGTGCATCGGGGGGCACGTTAAGCCGTCGGTCCTGCGCCTGATCTCTCACCGGTCGTGTCGGTCAACCGTCCCATCGGATATAGAGAGTGGAAGGAAGAGAGAGTGAACTCTAAGAATGCGAAACCTAGTTGGTCACAATAAGCAAAGTCCTGCGCAGTAAGTCGATGTCAGTGAGAGTAGGACTACATTACTTATTTATTGTAGGCATAAAAACATTTTGTGGCTCTTTAAAAATTAAAAAATGTTGTAAATTGTAACTTTTGGCTCTTTTGACTCAAAAGGTTGCCGACCCCTGGGTTAGGCAAAATTTATAGAAACGATGTTGAATATCAAAGACGAAAAGTTTGCATGCTGAAACCTAGGAAAATAAACGCCGTTACAGGGCTAATGATGATGATGAATTTCAAGTATCCAGCAGAATCACAGAATAACTAATAGCATAACAAAATGCATCAAATCCTGAATTGCCTATGCTGTGTATTAATCACGTTTCCATTTGCAAAAGTATAAAATACTCAACAAATGTCGAAACTTCTTCCCTCTGATCCTTGTTTATGTTTACGCGAACAGTATTAAAGCATAATTACTGTCGATAAATAAGGTGTAATATTATTATGTGCTAGGACTTTGTGAGGTAGATAAGTTAAGTAAATATATTGAACAAACTTTTACTATGGAAACAATACTGAATTCACGAAATAATAATCAGTTACTTCATTACAAAATTGTAATACCTACAATCCTGAACAATATGAAACTGGTGATCATTTTTTCATGAATTCAGTATTGCTTCCATAGTAATAGTTGATCAGTATATTTAACTTATCTACCTCACGAAGTCTTAGCACAAAATAATATTACACCTTATAATTTAAGGCACACCTAATGATTTGGTGTGTATTGTCAAATAAATTGTTTTCTATTCTATCTATTTTTTTCAGCGGTTTTCACTTAATATAACGAGATAAAAATGGTAGTCTCACTATTAAATAATCATAAGATAATATCACGTAATCATTTCCTATCTGTGGAGGCTTGCGACAGTTCATGAGAATGTCCAGTCGTGGGAATAGGCAATTATGGACCCTCATTCTTCTTTAGTTGGATTACATTTGCGTTGAAACTCTTTGATAAATGCTATTAGGGAATTAGTTGTAGAAGAAAGAAACATAGTTTATAGAAATGTCAAGAAAACTAAGTATATATTTAAATTATGTTACAGGTTCTCTGTATTGCTGTGATGGCAGCGGTTGCAAGTTGCGAGCCTCCAGTACAAGGTTACAACTACCAGCCCCCGAGGAACAACGTGCACAACAATTATAATACTCCTACGAACAGTTATCTACCACCCAATACAGGTAATGTCAATTTAATATATGTATATGTGGGAGTAACGACATACGCTTGTTTACAAGAATATTTACACGGTATTGAGACACATGAAGGCGTTTATGGCGTTTTTACGCTGGTCAAGGACCCTCGCATGCGGCTTTAGGCGTTTCAGTTCATTGGCCAGCCATCAGTTTAAAGGCAAAATATTTTATTCATATAATCTCGTTTTAAATCACTTTTGAATCGTCCAACATTATTTCTGTACGTCTTAATGCTGATAAAAAGAATGATCTATATATTCACCAGCTCTAATGGAAGTAACGTCATTCACAAAAAGCATGTCGTTACCAGATCAGTACATTATAAATATGTGAAGTCATTTTACATCACAATATTAACATAATAAAAAAACTATGATCTTACAATTATAGGTAAAATAATAGGCAACACGATAATTTTGAGATAAAATGAGTTTAAAAAGAAAACTACTGATTCGATTTCGATAAAATTTAAAAGGGACCTGTCGAATAAAAAACAATTTTGAAAATCAATTTATAATTATTCGTAACAAAACACACGAAAAACAGTCTATAAAAACTTATAATTATACTTTATTATTATAATTGAGAACTTTCTCCTTCTTTGAAGTCGTTTAAAAAAAGAAAAAAAGTAGTTGGTTAGACAGATATTTCAAAATCATATTTTGTTTTATAGAAAAAAGTTATTGGTCTATATTTATATTATAGAGAGGAATCATTTCATTGTTTGGTTACATTGAATAGGTACCGAAATTACTGGGCAGTTTTAAAAATTCTTTCATCTAATCTCTAGTCGATAAAATTACTACATTTTTTATTTTACTTTCTAGGTCTAAAAGCTCCGAGCAATAACTACTTACCGCCTGCCTCATACAGCCCGAGTTACACAAACACCGCACCCAGCCACTCGCATACCGGTCCCAGTTATCATAACACCGGTTCTAACTACCATAACACCGGTTCCGGTTATGGCGGTACCGGTTCTGGACATTCAGGTGGTGGTCATCACGACCATCACGGTCATGGGAATGATAACGAAGTGGTAAAGAATTTGTGACATACAAAGGAGTTTATATATTATACTTATACCTACATATACATGTTTAGATGTTTTTGATGCCCATACTTATGAGAAAACTAGACCTAGGAACAGTGTTGCATGACGCTTGCTTACTAATCCAATCCGAACGCGCCGAAGGAGGTCAAAAAAGGATTTTTTATCAAGTGAAATTCATAAAAAAACCTTTTTGAAGTGCTCATAGCTCAATAAAATCCCTAGCATTAAAACCTTAGGTATAACAAAGAAGTGGAAACTTTTTTGTTATACTACTTATCCGGTCTATTTCTTCAGCGAAAAGATTAGAATCGCCCTACTCAATTTGGTACAATTCCCAACTCGTCTAGAACTTTTACATTCTCAAGACTATTTTACAGACTGTGAAAGATACCAAGACACAATGTAATCGTTAATACCTTTAGCAATTAACCTGTTAGTTACATTTTGATAACGGCCACTAGTGAATTGGCAGCAGGAGGTGAAAATGGGTTGAAATAGGTAGGTATATCTGGACCTGAAAAGCATTAGGTCGGATGTCGGGAATCTTAGGCATAACTGTATAAAAACAGAAATAGCTACGAGGGTCAAACTGAAAGTTCTTAGAAAATCAAAAACTGATTACATTAGCCAGTTATTAGTTTTATTATATCTTTTCAAAATATTGTCCATTCACGTCAATACACCGCTGCATGCGATGGAACCACTGGGAAAAGCACTTTGCCCACTCGTCCTTAGGGGTCTCTTCAATGGCATCGCGATACGCAGCCACCGCTTCTTCAGCATTCATAAACCGCTTTCCTTTAAGTTTTTCTTTAATTTTTGGAAATAAATAAAAATCACAAGGCGCGAGGTCGGGGCTATACGGCGGGTGACCCAGTAATTCAACGTTTGATGTCGCCAAATAGTCGATCGTTCGCTTGGCGGTGTGCGACGAGGCGTTGTCGTGGTGAACGAGGAACCTACTGCGAGGTCGTTTCTCTCGAACTTTTTCCAAGACAAGTGGCAAACAATTGGTAGTGTACCATTCTGCAAAAACTGTTTTTTGATCCTCTAACACAATTGTTGCAAAATGACCTATCCTTCCAAAGAACGAGGCCACCATTTTTTTTCCCGCACTTCGATCTCTCTTCACTTTAGTTGGCAACTCCTCGAAAGGAAACACCCACTGAGCAGATTGTCTTTTGGTTTTAGGATCATAACAGTAAATCCAGCTTTCGTCACCTGTTAGTATGTCGAACACAGCATTTGAGTCACCTCCGTTAAATCTTTCAATCATTTTACGACACCAATCCACACGATGGAGTTTTTGAGCCTCAGTCAAATTATGAGGTATCCACCGGGCGCAAAGCTTCCTGACCGCTAAATGTTCGTGGAGGATTTTGTGCACTTGACTCATACCGATGCCTAAGCTTGTCCGAATCTGTTGATAGGTCACTCTTTTGTCAGTCTCTATCATACGCCGCACAACACAGATGTTATCTTCAGTCGTCGCCGTAGAAGGCCGTCCCTCACGTAAATCATCAGTGAGATTAGTGCGACCACGTTTAAACTCATTAAACCAGTTGTAAACAGTCGCACGAGATGGGGCTTCATCGTGAAAGGCCAATCGTAGTCTATCATAACTTTCTTGTTGACTTAAATGACATCGAAAGTCATAAAAAATCATTGCACGAAAGTTTTCTCGTGTTAAATTCATGATGACGTGACACAGACAATTTTCAATTTGCCGCCAAATCGTAAAACAAATGACAAATGAATGAATTAGCGATGGGCGTTGAATCAACGGACTAGTTAAATCAACCGTTAACGTAGAATCAACGCGTCGACGGTTGACAGTTCTTTGGTTAACTAGTTGAAAAATCGACGCCTTAACGAAGAACCCACCGTTCGTCTAACAACATGTTATGAAACTGCAACGCATCATTTTCCATTCATAAAGATTCGATGTAACTTTGATCGCTGAAATAATTTAAACTCTAAATTCAACGGCAGTAAGTAAATATTTCAATACGCGCGTCTAATACATAGGCCTTGTATATATGAATGTCAAAAGTGATTGTTATTTACATTTGTTTCTAATAGATGGTGTTATACAGTTCTTGTATTTATCTACACGGCGGTGTTAAGAATTTTACTAGTTAGTATAGATCAACTATTGTTGCAATTTAAAACTTTTTTTTAGTTTTGCATACACTCGTCTAATTGTGTGTTTTATTAGGGTTTCCTTGGGATTTTTTTTGTCTGAATAATCTATCTAACCTTTCTTTCTCTGAAAGAACGTTTATAGATTTTTTTTTTATTTTAGAGAATTTAATTCACTCTGGGCAACTGTTATATCAATAATTTTTAATATTAAGATTAATAATTTTATTTTGAACCAAAACAAACAAAACCTAAAGTACAGTATATCTATAATATTATGTTAAAATAGTAAAACATATCACTATAAACGAAAAATAATATTTATTGATAAATATAATAAAATATTTATTAAAGATTTCTAGTTAGATTATTAAAAAACATGAAACCGTAAATTTCATCTATTATACCTACACCTAGGTAACTACGATCTTACACAAAATAAATATTATATTATTTTTTATATCCATTAACGTGAAGTAGTTCGGCCAACTGCGAAAGTCTATATAGTCCATCCAATACGGTTAATATTTGTACGTTGGTTGTAGTTCATAAATAAACGCACACTCCCATCCGTCCACGTCTATCCTGTCGACGTAGTTGCATACGTTAACTATAGTTGATAATTCAACTAGTTGAATTTTCAATGATCAGATAAAGAGCGTTACGTTCGTTGATCAACGTACACCTAGTCTACAACGCTTTAGTTTTGTCGTATAATACAATAATACAACCAGTTAAAAAGTCGACGGCTAAACGAAGAACGCACCGTTCATCTATAAACATGTTACGAAACTGCAACGCATAACTTTATCTGTATAATACAATGGAATTCGGTTGTTTCCATTATTCAATTTTCATGTAACTTTGACAGCTGAAATAATTTAAACTCTAAAGTCAAAGGAAGTAAGTAAATATTTGAACACGCATATCTAATACATAGGACTTGTTGAAATACATGTTAGACTTTGTTTGTTTACGTTAATCCCCGATAGATGGTGTTATACGTTTTTGGACATGGCGGTGTTAAGAATTTTACTACTTAGTATAAGTTAACTTTTTCTACAATAAATAGTTTTTAGTCTTTTTTTTTTGCATCCGTATTATATAGTGATTCATAAATTTATTATTTTAATTAATTATTAATTAAATTAATTATCCTATTACAGAAAAAATTCATAATATTTATTTTAACTGTATGTTTAAAACGGCTAAGTGAAGTGCGAGTTGGACTCGCACACGAAGAGATCCGTACTTACCATTATAAAACGGCAAAAAAATTAAATCTGTTGTATTTGTACGAGAACCAACTTGAGTATTTATTTTATTTTAATTTAACTGTTTATTTTTAAAGTGAATACGTATATAGACAAATCTTCGTTAAAAATTTCAAGGGTCTACTCGCTGCAAGAATCGATATTGAGCAAAAACATTATTTTATTAAATAAAAGCAAATATTTATTCTGTTTTTAGTATTTGTTCATTATTGGCAAAAGAAATGAATCTTATGTGAAAATTTTAACTATCTATCTATCAAGGTTCATGAGATACAGCCTAGTGACAGACAGACGGACGGATAGCGAAGACTTAATAATACGGTTTCGTTTAAAATACAAAACCAAAAACAATATCTAATTAGAATACTAGCGCTATCTTTCGACAATAAAAAATCATAACCAGGTACAGATGATCAACAATGTTTACTTTTCAAATATTGATATACGGTTCAATAAAACAATTAAAACCGTTAAACTTCGTCCAAAGTTCGTACCCGTTGACGTAGTTCTATATGTCAACTATAGTTAAAATCAACTAGTTGATCGACTAGTCGATCAAGGTCCATGAACGGCTTCGTTTCGTCGACGGAAAATCTGTCAACGACCCATCTCTAAATGAAATATATACTCAGTAATATTGGCAAAGAGTTATATTTTCAAATTTTAGAATTATTTTTTTATTATATTGTTTATAAGTGGCCAGTTCTAAGAACTTTCAGTTTGACCCTCGTAAATGCAATCAAAATATTTGAAAAAGTCGTCTGATCCGACTTTATGCATGACTGTTGCTCATGAGTAAAAAGGCACAAACATACAAGAGTTAATTTGCCGGAAAGAGAAAAAAGAGTGTAGCAACGTTATGGCGATAAGTGATTTTAGCTGGTTCTGCACATCCGACCTAATGCTTTTCAGGTCCAGATATAATTTAAATATAATGAATTTCGAAAGTTTCACTAAAATTTTGTATTAATCAGTAAATGTTTCACATTACAAAATAAAAAAAAAAGTACCTATAAATATCGGAAAGATATCCCAAAAACTTCACGCTACAATTATTTGATATGGGATAGCGATTGCAATAACGACGTTTTTTACACACTATTGCATGAACGATATCGTTTATTTGATGTTAATCGGAGTTATCTAAGCAAAATCAAAAAAGGGTGTTCAAGTTACTAGACATCCTAGATTTCACAGTTTTCGTAATGGATGTCTGTAAAATAACGCCTGATTCTGTTAAATAGTTCGTTGCAACCACGGTTGCATTGCTGCCGATAGCACTACATGCAATGGTTCACAGAACACAGAATGACGTGTTGAATATGTTATCCAGCTATCTTAGAACCTGAAATGCACTTTTAGATCTACCAACTAATCTATGGCATACTCTTGTTATATTGCAGACTATGAAAGATGTCAAGACACATTGTAATACCTTTAGCGTTAAACCTGTTAGTTATGCTATATATCAGCTTTTCCCAAAGTGGGCGATAACGCCCCTTGTGGGCGCTGCAGGTTTAAAGGAGGCGGTAAGCGATAGAACAAAATGGAGGCGTTGTGTTTAGGAAAATTTCGAGGTCTCTTAGGACTCAAGTTAACTATTACGGGTTATAGTAAAAGTCTTGTTTATAATGAATGTAAGTAATTAATTTCCTCTAATATAATCCTCCTCTAATAAGTTATTTAATTTGAAGTTATAGCAGTATTAAGTAGGTGAAAAAATGGGGTGCTCAAAATATTTTTTATCATATTGGGCAATAGACGAAATAAGTTTGGGAACCCTCGTTATACTCGTATATTAAAGTAAAAATACAATATTCGCTTCAGATAAAGTCGCGTTTTAAATGTGCGTTCTGAACGTATTTGGCTCCAGGAAAACTGCATTATGTTGCAGTATCCTAATTACAGTAGTGCATGTCTCATCGCTTCATTGAAGTCATGAACGCAATGGTGTATATCCCGTCGAACCAATTGATATGAAAATTAAAACACAAAAAAACTGTAGAATTTTCTTTTATGAAACAGTCAAATGACAATGGGATGTGTAAAAATGTGTAGTATATAACGTGAATAATTTTTTTCATTATACATGTATTGATCTAATAGAAATATGAAGATTGTTAATAAATAAATTGTTATAATTGATAATTTTGAGAAAATTAACACAAAGTACCCATTCAAGATATAAATGAGTTCTCATAAATGTTTTAACCGAAATGCTCTAATATTATTTTCATGTGAAATAATACTGTTCAAGATTGGGCGTTTTCACACTGTGCCAATAACGACACGAGACGATACTCAAATATCGCCATATCAACATCAATATTTCAATTAAAAAATATATTTTAATCGACAATTTCTAACGGTTTATTAACTTATCCTCTTGAAGGATATTAATCCACATGGGTCAGTTCTATCTTTAATGTCGGTATCATCTACCAGTTGGTTATGTTCAATTTATAAATAACATTTATTATTGAGCTGTTTTTCTCCGAACTTTGTAAACAAGATAAGAATTGATTGGTTTCAGTCTAAAAATGTTATCCTCTTCTGTATAAAATATGTCACCGTAATCACCGAAAAGTATACTTCTCGGTGTGAAGTCTAATTCGGCAACTTTTTTGGCAGTGCCGTTCATACAATTTATTTCGTACAATCCATCGTATGTTAGGCCAAATGTTTTGGCTTCGTCTATTAAAAAGTTGTATATGACCGACAAATCTTTATTTTTAACTACCACTTGACCGTTGACAGCACAAAACACACCACACATTGTCACAAAATGTATATTCTTCTGATAATCAACGTCGAATTCCATAACAGTTTTCATATCACCAATTTTAATTGCTGTTGTTCCTCCGTTAAGAACTTTGTATAATCCGTGGTTGTTAGCATCTAAAAGATACATTCCGTTGTTTCTAATGACAAGTTTCATTATATTCATATTATAAAGACCGATGTTCGTAACTTCAGCGGTGACAGGATCTAGTTTATAAAGACCATCTTCAGATCCAAAATATACTTCCCCCGTTTCACTATCGACAGCAGTCGCTTTGTTTTTCTCAATGCCTTTGATTTTAGCACTTTGTTTTGTCACCACATTAATGAAAGCTCTTCCTGAATTTTGAATTTCGTCATCCATGTACATAAAGTATAAGTTTCTACTAGAAGAATCGTATGCTAATTCTTTTGGGGACGAATAATTATCCGTCAGAAGCTCTCTCTTGTATATTCTTCCACCTATTCTTTGTATTGGAGAATCCATTAGATAAATTCTAAGTTCTGATTGCACTATGATTACAATTGCGCATAGCACAAATAATATTATTTTTTTGAACATCTTAAAGATGCGTCCGATTCTCGCTGCTCCTCGTTTTAACTAACATTGTTTTTATTGTCAATGTTTTCATCATTTATCTTATAAGCTTTGGTACAAACTTATTATCTCCAGGCTTATTTATCTTTGATGACATATTTTCGACTTTATTCTGTCGCATGAAGTGTTCCCAGTCGTTTTATTAGGTCGCATTATTCTGTTCATTCACTGAAACGTTCGGATGAGTTGGACTAACGAGAAATTGTATTAAACAGCTTTAAGGTCACGCGCATGACGCGACACGCGGGTTTTGTGTTAATGTTTTCTTGATGATAGCCACGTGATGAATTTACTTGAACATTTTACGATCTTGAAAGTTGTTAGATCAATTAATGCATAATTTATTTTAATTATTTGCGAGTTGATTTAAGTTAATATATGACGCAATCGAAAAAACGCATTATATAGGCGTCCATGCAGAAACGTATATTTAAAAATGTCAAAAGAGTACGTAAAGAATAGATGTAGAAACTCAGATAAATGAAACTATAAATAAAAATATAAATAAATTTTAATTTTTGTACTTTCACAGAAAGTTGCTCAAAGGTCCATTAAAAATGTCATTAGTTTAAAGCGACAATACCGACACATATTTGACATTCATTAGAGCTCAAAATAGTCATTAAACCTTAATAGAAGTTTGTGCAACTGACAGTTAATCATTGATTTTTAAGGAAACTTATCAAGACATTTGACTAGTTTGACTGAATCAGGCAAATGAACATTTATATTTAAAAATCTCAACATATGTCACTCTCTTTGAGTCGAATCAGACTTTTCCAATCAGCGTAAATGATTTCATCATAAATATCAAATGCTATTCCAAAGCAATCGTCGACGTCTACAATTTTCTTTAGACTTGGTTGTGTTTTATCTACTTCATAAATGCCATCTCGCATGCATACGTAAACGTCCTCATATTTATTAGTTGTCAAACCCCTTGGTCCATTGTGAGGGAATTCTTCAATTAATACTGCATCCTTTGTGCCTTTCTTTTGACTGAACAAGCCGGTTGCATTAGTATAGAACATAGTATTGTCACCATCGGTAACGAAATGATCCACTTTAGTGTCTTCTAGATCTTTAAATCTAGTAGCAGTTCCATTAGATAGTGTATACAAGAATTGAGATGGAAACTCGGAATAGTAGAGCACATCATCGTAGTATATCGCCCATATGTCTGATCCGCGTTGACCGACAAATTCTACTTGATTGGTGTCATGGTCATATTTGTAAATACCATCATTAGACCCTATAAAGACTTTTTGATGCTCGTAATCAACAGTCTGTGCGAAACCATTGACTATATCAATATCACTAAATGCGTTCGTATCTAGATCAATTCTTGCTGTTTTAAATATGTCTTCGTCTGATTTGATACTGTAGCTGAAGTAGAGTGTGTTAGTGCTGTAGTCGACTGTTAACAAATATGGCCTGTCGAGGTCGGTCTTAATAATTTCTTTTTCATAATAAGTGCCGTTGATTCGGACACCATCGCAGGCCTCTTCTTTGATAACGCCGGCGCTTGCGATAGATAGACTAGCAACGATTAATAGATATTTCATTTTTTTTTATCTGGAACAAAAAGTAAAACAAATGTAATTCACATAAGTTATTAAATACGATATGAACTTTCTTGGACAAATATATGGCTTAAAGGCCACTTTGAAGGTTATACGCAGACCCACGGCTTGGTTGTAGTACCTCCATTGTTTCAAATTTCATAATAGGCGTGTGTAAATCTTTACTGAATCGACTCAGTGAGTCAGTTCAGCAAAATGATCCACTGATCCGAATCTCAAAGTTTGCTCCGAATGAATCAGTGGTGCTCACTGACATGAATAAACGAAAGAACGAACTGAGTAGAAGTGAGCGACTGTTCGGAAAGATTCGGGCGCAACGAGTCGCGTGTCGGTAAGAAATGAGTGCAATTGTCGGCCAGCCAGCGGCTATATTCTATTATTTACTACTTTTACTTAACTTTTGTTTTGGAATCATATATAACGATAAAAATTTTGAATGCTAAAAAATATTGTCATTAAATTAATAAACGTGTAAATTGCTGGGTATACAACAAACTATTAGAACATTACGAAAATAGTATAAATAGTATTTTTTGTGCAAATTGTTAGCTAAGCTTGATCAAAGTACAAAGGAGAATCGATTCGATTTTAAGTGTATTTTAATTTCTTAATATAAAAAATGAAAAGTATTATTTTGTTTTATCATGGTATGAGACTCATTTTATTAGATTTGTATAATAACTTTGCATATCAAAGGTCAATGAAAAGTATTAGGTAACTTTTAAAAATATTCATAACACGATAAAGTACTTGTTCTGCTCTTGAATCTATCTGAGAATCGATGATCCAAATGAGCCAAATGATCCAAATGAAGCATTAATTGATTCGGATATTTGAACTGATTCAGATGCAAAGGATACAATCTTTAGAAATATACGTTTTTCACAGTACTATTTCATAACACTAGGGACACCGACATTAATATTCTTGCATTTCTATTATTGTATTTTGAAAGAACCACGGTTATGATATTAATTGTAAATTGACGGAATGAGCACAATGACAGTTAACATTTAAAGTTACATATAGTTGTTTTATAAAGGATTCGATATATAAATAAATATAAGACCACATCATATACGTTGTTAAGATCACAAATTAAGTAACTATTGCACTTGTATTATGGAAACCTGAAACAACAAAGAAATTACAACATCAAGACCCGAGATGACATATAAAAGTCCGTTTTCTATATTAATCCTACCGGGAATCGTTACCGGGACCTCGGAGATGACGACACTTCGAAACCGGCTCGCGATTCACTCGACCACGGAGATTGTATATCATAGTATATTAATGTTAAATATTTTTCATATCATAAATATTAAATTATAAAATTGTCTATTAAATAAGAATAAATTTCCGGTTTTGTTGGTGAAAAATAAACTACTAATGAATTCATAACTAAATTACTTACCGACCTGCTCGGAATTCTACAGATAACTAAGACTCATTTTGTTCTTAATAACAGTAAATAACACAGCTGTAGAGTCGACCGATAGAGATATTATTTATCAGAAAAGATGTATGATTCTTTAAAATGTAATATATAAACATCTCATCTTAAAAATAATTTAAAAAAAAATACTATAGTATCATTATCTTATTTGCTGTATTAATTAAGCGATGTCATTGTTTTTTCTTCATAACAAAGATTCGGTCTTCAATAATTACATTAAAGTTATTTTTTTTGGATTGTGTCATTTATATTACCTTGTCGTTATACGCGACTCCATTTATTCTTAGTTCTCTACAGTAATGTTCAATGCTAAAGGTTATCAATATAATTTTATATGAATGTCAATTATTTTATTATGTTATAATTGTTGATAAAACACATATGATTTTGTACACAGTTAAATTTTTTTTAATGACGTAATATTAATTTAATTTGTCACATTATTACCCCGTGGTCCGTGGCTCAAAATTATCTCGTAATGGAATACGTTGCATTGTCTTTGTTATTTCCATAGATTAAGTCACTTAGAGAATAATTTAAAAAAATATCTGGAACCCGACCATGACTCGCTAAGACGAGTCAGACAAAGCGCCTACCTTTTCTTGAAGTGCTACATCGCTTTTTAGAACTCTAATAACTTTGAGTTAGATTATATCAGATTGTGTGTAGTATTAGTTTAGTACACAGAAAAAAAATCCTCAACTTTGACTTTTACCATCATTCTTTTAACTGCTAGAATACTACATGTAGTGTTAGAAGCTTATTTGTACTGTTAGCAGCACGCCAAGATAAAAGTTAACCTCTAATTCAATCGAATTTAGAGGTTAACGCATTAAGGGTAGAGTTCAAAGTCAGTTGCGATAATTTGAGATATTATGGTAACCTGACTTTTTTTAATGCGACATTTCAACTCAATGTATCGTCGTAATTTAGCGATAACGCAAAAAAATAAAAAAATACGTATTTAATATTCTTTAATTATCTTTTTTATTCTTTAAGAAAATAAAATCAAAAATTTGTCAACATCCCTATTAAAAATCTTCCGTTAAAATTAATGTCAATCACAAATTTTTCCAATATTTTTTTCCTGTTTATTTAACGGTTTGTAAGATTTATTTATTTAACCTTATTCTAATATCTAATAGGATGTAAGAATAAAAAATACATTTTGTCTGGCATTGCGATTATAGATGTTACGCAACTTTCGTATTGTATACCATCGGATGGGTTACCGACTATATAAAATCACTTAAGCTCTGCTGTTCGGCACATATGCGAATCTATTATTGTTGATTCATGGTCCTAGATTGTTCGGCACATATGCGTACCCATTATTGTTGATTCCTGGTACTAGATTTTTTCTCCTCTCCGATAGTATAAAGTAAGTGCTCAAGTCTCAAAGTTCAATTATCATTTCAGTAACTGATAAAAATATTTTATTAACATCGACTTGTTGGAACTACCTAGGTATACTAGATTATCTCGTGGCGAATTTAAGCACGATAGCACAGGATCCAGACCTTAAAAAAGGTTGTGCTCACTTCTTACTAGGTCAAGTGCGAGAGTGCCTAAAATAATACATTCCGGCAAAGAAGATGCACACCAAATTATTTGACGCCGTCATGTTATCGACCTCCATAGACCATGATAATGTGACGTCAGATTCTATTAGGGTTATGGCCGTGCCGTAACGAGGGATCAGCTCCTGCGATAGCGCCTATTGTAACAATCTTTAGCGGAATCACTCAATGATTACCATTTTTGGTTTCAGCCCAAGTCATACGAATTCGGGTACTCCGTGAAGGACGCGCAATCTGGCAACGATTACGATCGCCGCGAGTCCTCAGATGGAAATGTCGTTAGAGGCGAATACCGCGTCCAACTGCCTGATGGACGCACGCAAATCGGTAAGGGATGGTAGAAAATAGAAAGTTTTGGAATCGTAATACAAATGCGCAATACTGTAGCGTCTTGAAGAACAACAACACCTGCACTAGGAACCAATTTTATCATAATAATTTTTGTAGTACCTTGGGGTGTGCTATATCCTATAGAATTACTAATTGTGCCAAAGGTAAGTTACGCTTTGCAATATCACAATCTTATACCGAAGTGAATTACCTTTTATTTGTGAAAATCATACTCTGGAATGGATTCGAGACTCCAGGGTGAGAAAATAACTAATTTTTCTGGTTTTCATTCTTATTTCGTTTATTTAACATCACTTTTATGGGGTTAATGTCCCGATAACTATGACAACCAGCACGCGTAGCATGACGAACTCGAGCACGTTTTGTCTACACTCAAATGTCACTTTTCTCGGGTGTGCCCATACTATATCTCACTCTCGACCCGAGAAACTGACAAATGAGTGTAGACAAAGCGTTTCTCGAGTTTGTCATGCTACGCGTGCAGGTCTCAATCTCCTAGAGAGGAGTCCCACAGGAGCTTCTAGTGGGTAGTTCTCTGGTCTATTTCATGAACCAGTTTACTGGAACCTTTCCTGGGAGAAAGTCCTACCATAGCCTACATAACTTAATAATTTGCCTGATGACGGTTGCAATAAATAAAATAATGCTGTTGGCCCAATGAAGTTAAACAGATATATTATATTCGTAGAGAATAGTTTTGACTAAATGTTCTTTTGTGGTTCGATCTTATTTCAAATTTAAAATTATATTCTCAATTTTGTTTCTAGTGACGTACCACGCTGATTGGCAAACTGGTTTCCACGCCGACGTGAGGTACGAGGGTGAAGCTCGGTATCCAGAACCTACACACAACAATAATCAAGGTAATATTTTACTGTAAAATCGATACAATAAAGTTAAGAGTATAATTGCCACTAATGATCATCAGCATATTAATTAAATGTTTCTAGTAATAGATGTTCTTCATGACTCGATCCAGAATATGCCATAATTCCTTGGTGCTAACGACTTGCCTTCTGAAGCATGGAGGCGTTAACACATTTGGTCGACCATCCGAATATCAATGCACCAGAGCCCTTACAGCCCGTTCTCCCTATTCGATTCATTTCAATACTAAGTATAAGGGAAGGCCTGAATCCCAGTCATAACGATATATAGTAAGAAAAAAAGAGTATCACTGATCAGACGTTAGGAAGTAACAATGTAAAGCTGGGATAGATTGCTTATTCATATATAAAAAATCGTTTTACTATATTATATATAGCTTATCACGCAGCTTGTTTTTTATTAAATTATAGTCTATAGCTTATCATGTAGCTTCCCGTAAGTGAAAGAATTTTCATGATCTGCCCTTTTGTAAAATTTCAAACCCGAATTCGGTTTCGGCAGCCCTGCGATTCAATGTATTAGGTACACGTCCTAATAATATTATAAATGCAAATGATTGTGATGATGCTCTTAATGTTAAAAAAAATCAATGGATTTAAATTAACTTATAGGCTATTTTTGCTGCTATTTAGGCTGCTAAGTGATTCCCTAGGGATAAATGCGCTGGCGATGCCGCAAATTTGTTGACAATAATTGATCGACTTATGAGCCTTTCGATTGACGTGACAGTGACGGTGATTCTAAATACAATACTTCCTTTAGTTTCCTTCTCATTAATAGGTAATTTACAATTTATACTTTTGAATAATTTGCAAATTACATTTCATAATTGCAGGTGGTTACAACTACAACGCCCCTAGTGACTTCAGTGGATCCTTAAATGGGTTCCAAGGCAACTCGTACAAACCTTCCACCGCCTACGGACCCCCCGGATACCACTGACATGTTCCAAATAACAATAATCGGATATATATTTAATAACGACTTAACGCATGTAAATATTGCTTTTATAAAATAATTTCAGATACAAGTAACAAAGAATGTTTGATATATTAGCATCTGTCAAAAAGCAATAAACAGTTTCTAAGCTTTAAATAGTGTAAACAAACAGATAAGTTTTATTCTCAAAGAGCGTAAGGGACAAAAATAAATTCAATATTAAAATAATATTCGTAAATGTTATCAAAATCTGATAACATAACATTATAAAAGTGATACTTTTACTAAAGTTACCATTGTTTTAGTCAGTATCTTTCTCTTTAATAATTTTTTACATTAATAAATTACTGTAAATAACTTGAAAACGCTTATTTGACAATTAGATCATTAATTATGCATGACATTATTAATAAATATTCGATGCATCTTTAACCAATTAAGTACCTAATTAGTTATGTTTATGTGTAAGAATTTTGTACCAGTATTATATTTTTACAAAAATAAAGATTTTTTCGATTTTACTATCTCTTTTATTGTTATTTATAACTATGGACGACATTTTTATATTTTATCAATCAATTTTGTTTTCACAATGTTATACTGGAAAATATTCTTAATGTAATATGCTTAAAAAATCCACCAGACACACGTACTTTGAGATTGTACCCGAACCCACGGACCGTTTGCAATTCGGGCGACTGCTTAATCACCGAGCTACCCAGGACCTAACAGGACTGACGAATTTTTCAAGCACTTCTTACTTTTTCGCCATCACAGAGCGTATTTTTTTTAACAACAAACAGTCGAAAGAAATTTAACAACAAACAGTTTAACAACAAACAATCTTTTAGAAATATTTTAAACTTTTCTAATTATTAATATTTGATCAATATTTCACAATACTACACTGGAAAATATTCTCAAAGAATTTAACTCGACGCTGGAAAGCAAACACGTAGTAACCTGTAAAACCAAAATGGATATTAAGAGTAGAAAGTCTTTATATTTTTCCAAATTAATATCTTATTTTCGTATAAATTGACTTATTGACGTTTATACGAGGGTCAAACTGAAAGTTCTTAGAAAATCAAAAACTGATTACATTAGCCAGTTATTAGTTTTATTATATCTTTTCAAAATATTGTCCATTCACGTCAATACACCGCTGCATGCGATGGAACCACTGGGAAAAGCACTTTGCCCACTCGTCCTTAGGGGTCTCTTCAATGGCATCGCAATACGCAGCCACCGCTTCTTCAGCATTCATAAACCGCTTTCCTTTAAGTTTTTCTTTAATTTTTGGAAATAAATAAAAATCACAAGGCGCGAGGTCGGGGCTATACGGCGGGTGACCCAGTAATTCAACGTTTGATGTCGCCAAATAGTCGATCGTTCGCTTGGCGGTATGCGACGAGGCGTTGTCGTGGTGAAGGAGGATCCTACTGCGAGGTCGTTTCTCTCGAACTTTTTCCAAGACAAGTGGCAAACAATTGGTAGTGTACCATTCTGCAGAAACTGTTTTTTGATCCTCTAACACAATTGTTGCAAAATGACCTATCCTTCCAAAGAACGAGGCCACCATGTTTTTTCCCGCACTTCGATCTCTTTTCACTTTAGTTGGCAACTCCTCGAAAGGAAACACCCACTGAGCAGATTGTCTTTTGGTTTTAGGATCATAACAGTAAATCCAGCTTTCGTCACCTGTTAGTATGTCGAACACAGCATTTGAGTCACCTCCGTTAAATCTTTCAATCATTTTACGACACCAATCCACACGATGGAGTTTTTGAGCCTCAGTCAAATTATGAGGTATCCACCGGGCGCAAAGCTTCCTGACCGCTAATTGTTCGTGGAGGATTTTGTGCACTTGACTCATACCGATGCCTAAGCTTGTCCGAATCTGTTGATAGGTCACTCTTTTGTCAGTCTCTATCATACGCCGCACAACACAGATGTTATCTTCAGTCGTCGCCGTAGAAGGCCGTCCCTCACGTAAATCATCAGTGAGATTAGTGCGACCACGTTTAAACTCATTAAACCAGTTGTAAACAGTCGCACGAGATGGGGCTTCATCGTGAAAGGCCAATCGTAGTCTATCATAACTTTCTTGTTGACTTAAATGACATCGAAAGTCATAAAAAATCATTGCACGAAAATTTTCTCGTGTTAAATTCATGATGACGTGACACAGACAATTTTCAATTTGCCGCCAAATCGTAAAACAAATGACAAATGAATGAAATATATACTCAGTAATATTGGCAAAGAGTTATATTTTCAAATTTTAGAATTATTTTTTTATTATATTGTTTATAAGTGGCCAGTTCTAAGAACTTTCAGTTTGACCCACTGGGGGGAGAATGTTGTCGATGACAACCTCTTTTAATAGACATTTGTTTTTTAATATATGATCTTAAAGAAAGAAAATACAGTTTGACTTTTAGCTGACAATTGATGCTGTTTTAATTTTTTTCCCTTCTAATTTACTAAAAAAGTGTCTTCAGCTCCCGCACGCCAACGTATTTACCACCAGCGTTTGTGACCAGCACCTCCATCATTTACAAATTAAAATAATTTTTATTTTTAATAACAAAAGATTTGCTGCTCTGATTTTTTTAATCCCTTTATCATAGACTCGTTAAAACCAGTTATTTTGAAAAGAATATGACATGAGTTGAATATGTACTCGTCCGAAAAATTGAAGTCAGATCGCACAGACGCACAGATCACTACACAATCCAGCTGCAGTGATATTCTGTTAAAATGCGGCGTCGTATAACATGTGATGTGACAGCATAGAGGTTCAGTCAAATAAAACCTCAATTACTTCCGAATTTTCATTCGAGGACCAATAGAATAGGACCTTCAGGTGTCATATTAATTGGAAATATATTTAGTTAAATCCCTTATGTGATGGTGAGACAGCACTGTGTGTTTTCTTAGATTGAGGAATCATTTTATATTGATACAATTTTGGATTATTTTTATTACTTTCAGAATTCGCCCCACAAATAATTTGAGTCCTTATAAGTAGGCTTGTGTCCAAGGCAGACAGAAGTTTTTAAATGTAAACGTTGCCATAAAATACAAAAAAAAATTATTGTGAATGGGTCCAATAGTATTTGTTTTTGAAGGTAGCTATAATACTCTTGAATAAAAAAAATTAATTAATTAATTAAAAGACAATCAACCTTAGTCTTATATGAACATGGAACCTGGGGGCCAATTCTACTAAATAAATTTTGTTTAAATCGAATCGAAAACAGATCGAAACCGAATGAAACTACAGTTTTTAACGGTTTTCCTATTCCACAAAGTGACATCGATTTAAACAAAATTTATTTAGTAAAATGGGGCTACCCCTGTGAAGGGTTCGAAACGTCAATAAAACTAAATACAAACGTTTAAAAGTTGTTTCATTGGAATATTTTTTTTTTATGAATCCTCGTTTATTTTCTACAGAAATTTACTAAAAAACCAGCAGATCCTTCCGATGTTTTTACCGTAAAAGATCTACCTAAGTCTACAGATTTTAGGCTGTTAATCTTTCCAAATCTTTGGTTTTGCAGCACCGAATCGAGATGCGATTGGTACGCAGAATTTGCATTCATACATATGAAAGAAATCAACAAGAATACACTTAAAATAGGACAGCGTTTATTTAGACTTATAAAAAGCATTTTTACAAGTTATTGATACATTGATTTATCAACATTTTCATAATTTGTACATGAATACGTATAAATTATTGCCTATTCTAGAAACATAATTAAAATTCAGGCCAAAATAATATTACTTTATAAATAATGGTAACTTGATTTAAATAAAATATAATAGTGTCTAAATAATTTATTGTCGTTTCTAAACGACCATCTTATTTTATTAACACAGATATCGATATTTGTATTATAATCTAATAATTTAAGTAGTTAGTCTACTAATAATAATTTATCAAATCTCACAAGCCAAGGAAATTTTCCATAAGTATTTAAGATGTCCACAAAAGTAGTGTACAGGGAATTATTTAGCAATAATTAATAATAAAGGAGCTCTTACTATTAAAAAGTAATAGAGCTAAAAGCTTCCTTAGGAGTAGACTAAACAGAGATTCAGTGTGTTATAATTATAACATCTAACTCGTAAAAATCGTTAGAATATAGATTTATTTTAGCCACAGATTTTATCTTTATTAGCTTTTGAAGGTTGTATTTGATTATACTTTTATGTTAAGACAGCGCAACGACGAGTACAGTAGGCTAATCTGCTAATGTTAACGCAATAATAGCATCTCAATAGAATTTTAATTAGCATTTTGCCACTGTACTGTTTAAAGTGTCTACCTTTTAAATAGTTAAAATCAGATCTTCTCTCCCCAGGACCGGACCGTTTATCCAATGTTATTACGCTTACATTAGCAGAATTTCTATTGAAGCCTAAATATTTTGCTGGCGATGATTCTAGAAGTTGCCAAATAGTCATGTGAGGCAAACATGCGCGCTTTCTGTTTAAATTTCTGGGATAGTAGTACAAAAGAAGTGAAAGATAAGTGATTCAGGTTGGTAAATTAATATTTCTCCTGGGGTATCACGTTCTATGTCTTCGAACGTGGGTACTGTGGGGTGAACTTATATAAAAAGAAGAAATTAATGAGGAAATTAACCTGCACACACTACCTAAATGACCCTACCGTTATTGCTTCTGATAGTTAAAGTCTTATTTAAATATGTGTAATGTCTAATTGACAAATCAATAAATTATTATTTAGATATTGCCCCAAATTTAGATATTGCACGTTCTGTAATTATGACGTCACATGTTTTTTAATTATGTATTTGAGGAAAGGCATTCGTATAAAAGCAGAAAGATTACCTACATACTAAACGACTTATACACTAACAGAGACAATGGTAGGTAGCAAACAAAACGTTTGAGACCTTCACAACAATTTCAAGAAACTATAACGTTATTTTAATATCTATATTCGATACATTTATTGGGATTAGGATTTAGTTTTATTAAAATATCGATAACGGCGTAAATCGGGTCCATGTTTTTAGTAAAAGCCAGTGCTCTTAAATCTCTTATACGGGATACTCTGTCCAATGCGAATTTGTACTTATTATAAATATAAACGCCGTTTTTGGTGCCAAAAAATGCTCTGTAATATGGATCCACTGCCATTACATCGATTGGATAGCCTTCGTGAATATTAATGGCTCTAGTACCCAATTTTATTCTAAACAAAGTATCGTTTTGTAGAAAGAAAACGTTGTCATCGTCGTCTACTATTATATCCTCTACTTTTTCATTCTGCAACTCCATCATTGGATTTATGACTCCATTATCGAATATAAAAGCTTCATTCCTCACGTTTATATAGTACAGAACTTCTCTGAAGAACAACTTATGAATACTATCGTATATAGGATATCTTTCAGGTTGCCTATCTCTGTTCAAAGCGTATACTCCATCGATACCTCCTACGTAAACTTTATTCTTATTTTGATCTACAGCTACACCAGATGCGTTTCTTATACCTCCTATTAAACCTGCTTGCCTGGTATCTAAATTGTAATATCCTAAGCTTCTATATGGCACAACACCTATTTGTCCGAATGTAAAGTATATTGTGTTGTCATTATTATTAAGTACTAACTGATGTATCTTGTTGATGCCCTCTTTGAGTATTTGTATGTCATAGTATTTGTTGTCGAAATACACTCCTCGGCAATTTCTGTCGGGGATAGCGGACGCTGCGATAGTGTTGAGTAGTAACAGGAAAAGTGATCGCATTTTCACCTGGAATGAGAAACGTATAAATTGAGTAAGGCGATATACATCTTTTTTATAATATGCTCCCGATCGCGAAGCTCTATGACTTATAGTGTTGTAAAAGAACTGTCTTTTAGTCCTAACATTGAGACTCGAGTCTTTTTTGAAGACTCAAGTCAAAAAAGAGTAAATTAAAGCTCAAGCCTCTCTTCTTCTTTTAGTCTTCTTAAAATAGACTCCAGTCATGTCAAAGAAAACTCGAGACTGAGTCTTTTAAAAGAGCTCACTCTTTACAAAAAGAACTCCAGACTAAGTCCGTTAAATAAAAACTTAGCTTTCCTAAAAAGAAGTAGCGGCTGAGTCCTTTTAAAAAGAACTCAGTCTTATGAAAACCTACCTACACTAATAATTATAACGCGACAGGCCAGTTACACTGTGCGCCTTGTGATCGTGTTTCTAAGACCAAATTTGGATTCGCTACCCACATTCGAGCACGTCACAGAGACCAGGTTATCTTGTAAGGTTCGCCATCACCGGATACGGTTTGCTACCCAAAAAAAGTATACCTACCTATGGTGTACCTACCTATATTAATCACTTAAAAGTGTGAAAAAAAAAAAACCCGACTGCGTTAAAAATAATAACTGAATACTAATACTAATATTTGTTCTCATAAATTTCCTAATCAAATAGGAATTAAAAAGTATATGAGCCAGTATAGTAAGGACTCATTACAGATAAACAATATAAGCGGTCTTATAAAAAGGAAATACTATTAAGCTAATTGAGTAATAAGTACAGACAGTTTACATATTTATAGAATAAAACTATGTCTATTTTACTTCATATATTTTTTAATTTTTGATTTTTTGTATTTATTTAGACTGTATTCTTCTTACAATGAATTATATTTAAATAATAGTTTTAACGACTCAAAGAACTCAAAGGCTTCATGACATGAGTCTTTTTGATTGGACTGCAGTCCTGCTGTATAATTCACACGACTCATAAGACTTCAAAGAACTCAAAGGACTGAAAAAAAACGAAAGGACTTAGAATAAATCTAACGACTCAAGACATTTTAGGACTGAAAGAACTGAAAAGACTCAAAAGAACTCAAGACTCAGGACTTAGAAGACTAATTAGTCGTGAGTTCTGCAAAAAGAACTTATAGTCGCAAAATTAGGACTAAAAGACCAGTTCTTTTACAACACTAATGTAATGACTTACGTAGCAGGGATTAATCAATTTTTGCATAGATTGATGCAGCCGTAAATTTAAAAAATCCAAAATTTTATAAATTTGGGTATTGTAAGGTTTCGTAACTCTTCAAGAAAAAGAAATCATCGGTAACTTTTTAATAGACTTCAAAATTGAAAAGGAGGAGGTTATATGTTCGACGGCGATGTTTTTTTTTATGTATGTCGACCGATATATTCGCGAATTATAGACTGATATGGGCTCGAGATGGTCCCAAATAAATTTTATGGAACACGAATTGGTACTGGTTTTTATTACAAAATAATATACACTTTTTACCAAATATCACCAAAATCTTAAGACGACAACTTACAGAAAAACCTCGGCCCACTTCAATAGCAGTTTCTGAATAATAATTATGTTCTCACTTTTTTAAGTACTAAGTCGGTTTTAGTTTTTGAAATTTGTCACAATTATATAATAGGTACTTTTAACAGATATCTAGTATAATCATCTCAAAGTCCGGAATGAAGTGGGAATTTTAGAATCGTGTTTTGAGAAAAATGCTTAAAAGTCATGTCCGCCTATTGTTTTTTAGGATGTTAAAGACGGTTCAAAGAACAATACACTCGTAAAATAAAAACAAAATGTAGGGGAAGTTTGGCACCATTCGTACACGGGGAACCTTCATACAGTCACTACTACATCTTACAGAAAAGCCTATTTATTACGACTTTGTGTTAGTGGATAGGCGCCGGCGACTGCCAGTTGTCCAAGAAGTTAGCCACACATGCAGCCACTGCGAGCGAAACTAGAGAACTTAAAGTGTTTTGGCATGCTCATAGTAAATATTTTGTTAATGTTTTTGGATCTTCCGTGCTTTAATCATAGGTCAAATTTTATTGAATTATTGCTTAATCGTAAGTGAATATGACTAAGATAATAATATATATCTATATTGTGTATTTTTCTACGTGGGTTTTGTGTTAGAAAAAATAATTTTATTATTGATCTTCGGGGCACGTTCGTACATTTCCAGAAAGGGCACATTCGTACGCGTATGTGTGTACCTCCCCTAACAATTTTTATTATTATATCAGAAAATTTAGAAAAAATTATCGGAATTTTAAGAAGAAAAGGCAGACACGTTCCCAATATTAATTAAATGAGTTTTTTTGCGTCCGTAAAAGATGTTTTTAAATAGTAAAAAACAAATTGTTTTACTGAAAAGATTAACCAATTGAAAAAGTTCATAAACACATTTCGGACTCACGATATTGGAAGTCACAACACTATAAAATGATTATGATAAAGTTTTGAAATATAAATGTTTGCAAAATTGTTATGAAACTGGCTTCGCTGATATAGAATAGATGCACGGTTTTCGTAAAAAGATAGTTAGATTCTAAGCTTATATGTTGTTTAGTTTATCACTTCGTTGATAAGTTTATGATCAATGAAAACGATTTTTTTAATTCATTTGTTGTTTTACTTAATATATATGCAGTTACCACACTGTCTGAATGTTCCCCGGCCCATGTACGATCGTACCCCTTAATAGGGGTAGATTCGGATATTTCATTAGCTTTTAGTAAAATTCAATCCTTTGATATATTATACAAGATATCGACTTTGAACTTTTTAAATAAGGAGTAGAAAGTATGCTTTATGTTTCAATAAGAAATTGAGTAATTTATCTGTGATTATCAATATTTTAAAAATCATTGACTAAAAAGTGTACGAATGGTCCCAATCTTCCCCTAATATACATCGACTTCATCTATCTTTTCCGCTTTAAAAAAAATCACAGAGAATGGAGTGTCATGAGCATATTTATAAGAGAATAACCTTGTTACTATCTTTGTTTGTTTGTTAGAAAATACTGATCCAGTCTCAAAAATTCTTTCACCTACGGGAACCTGCATCATATACGGGTGACATAGGATATAACTTACGCGGGTAGCGGGTGTAGCAGTCATTGATAAAATTTTGAACTAATATATTCGCTAGGTAGAATTAATCTGAATAATTCTAGATAACGATGGTTTTCAGCTTATATTATATTTATTTTTAGAATCGATATTTTTAAAGTAACAACACTATTATAAGTCTTTTAGTTAGTCTGAATGCGATAAACTTAATAGGCGGTTTTCCCGGATGTATGTAATGTACGAAGTTATTTGTGAGCAAGGTTTACTTGTAATTAGTGTAAAATGATGTCACATTTCTGTATATAAATGGCGGTTGGCAATAATTATAGGCACACAATTATTTGATATAGCAAATACATACGATAGCTAAACGTTTTTTGACTGACTTCAAAAAATGAGGTTACCGATTGGACTTGTATGTTATAATTTTGTTGGAATGAAATTGTATTGTAATATATGGGTTTCTTATACGGTTTAATATAAAAAGTATATAATAATCCAGTAAGGAATTCATCTCTACCTGGTCCAAGTGATCGCTAGTGAAAGTACAACTTTAAGGTTAAATATTAATCCTATTAATATTATAAATGTGAAAGTTTCTTTGTTTGGATGTTTAGATGTTTGGATGTTTGTACGTCAATCACGCCGAAACTACTGAACGGATTTTGATGAAATTTGGTATATAGATAGGGTGTTAGCTGACTTAAATAATAGGATACTTTTTATCCCACTAAACATTTACCTAGGGTCCACGCGGGCGAAGCCGCTGGCGAAAGCTAGTGTTCAATAAAAGTATATAACCTTTTTACAGTTTTATATTTATAAACAAAGTTAATAATAAAAGGTGCTGTATATTGGAAATATTAATGGTCTTGGTTATTTCAAGAATTCTCAATTTCTCTGGAGGGTATTAAAGATTGCAAATGTAACCGGGACCAATGGTTTAACGTGTCTTCCGAAGCACAGAGTAGCTCGAGAATTTTCGGTCACCCATCCCGTGACCGATTCTTGCTTTTAACAACAACGATCGCAGGCCGTGGCGCTTATCCACTAAGCCACCGATCTACCTTTGCTCAATATAGAGATAAAGAGGAAAATAAAATCTGTCATTCATTATCTCTACATTGAACATTTAGATCACAACAAAAACAAATTCAAGGCTAAAAAGGGATGAATTGTTTGTTGAAAATTACGCTTGCTTTAACCACATCACATTAAGAAAATAATACACACATTCCACACGCAAAATGAGACAGGGATGCCAATTTTCTATCTCTTTCTTACACTTTCACTTACCGGTTGTTAAATAACACCTTCACAACTTAAATAAAGTGCTTTTATTTACTTTTAAATATCACAGACACATCTCACCTCTATGACCGCGCGAAGGGCACTGGTGTGGTAACTTTTTTATTATTCCAATAGTTATCTCATACTGATTAGCAGTTTGTTGAAGTCTTACTAGTGAGGTGACACGATAGAGTCTAAGGCAGGGCTGCCAGATGAAAAAAAGGCATGATCGTACGGCAACTACAAAAAAATCGTATTCTTAGGAAATTTAAAAATAAAAAGATCGTACAACAAAGAAGTTCAAATTTTTTATTTACCATTTCGACGTGACAAACAGTGCACTTGGCTTTAAATTGGTTTTTACTGGGCCCTAACCAGTCCTTAAACAAATCAAATTTTTCCCAATCGGGACGATACTTCTGTTATCTGTTTGTTCCTATCTGATGCAGAAAGCTCTCTTCTTTTAGCTAATTTCTTTTTTGGAGTACCTGGCGCAAGTCGCAAGCTATAGCAAGCTATACTGTATGCAGATCGAAAGCTGTTTAATCACTACGTATAGCTCGATATCAACGAGAAAAACATGTTTTTGACAAGTCCAAC